CTCAAAATCCAAACACAGGATGAAAGTCATTAGCCACAATAGGAATTGTCCAACACACTTTTCAGAACACAAGCTCTTTCATTGCATCACCCCCAGAACAGTCCAAACTTCAAAGTTACAGAAACCTATAAAGATCTATCCACTCATTCAACCATTTGTTCAGCTGCACCAGAACCACAAATCCTAGTGGTTCTGTTCACCAATAAATGGACCTTCTTTTCAATCAGCCTCCAGCCTCCATTTTGTTTCCAGTGCCTTTGTCCCGGCTTGGAACTGAACCAGATGCATTTTCCTTCCAACAATGGTTTTCCAATCATGATAAAATAACGTTTCCATTTTTTGCTGGTACAATCAGATACAACAGAAGTATATCCAGTTTTAGATATCACATTTTAATTTTAAAAAGTCTTTGAAACTGTAGCAGAGAAATGCAAAAATGATAATTAGAAAACTATAAACTAAATGTTATGAAGAGATTTAAGGGATTAGATCAGAGGTGGGTTCTACTTACCTTTACTACCAGTTTGCATCGTGCCCACATGCATACGCAGAAGCTTCTGTGCATATGCAGATTTACTTTGATGACATCCGGGTCAGTGGGTAGAGCTTCCCGCCGGTTTTACTACCGGTTCTTGCGAACTAGTCCGAACCAGGGGCAACCCACCACTGGACTAGATGTGTTTAATTCTCAAAAAAGTCCAAAGGGAGATATAATAAATATAATAATTCAGTATTATATGAATTATTCAGGTATAATTCATCTACCTAAAAGGATGTTACATAAAAAATAGTTGTGCAGTAATGAATTTAAATTACAGAAAAGTAACAGATTCAATGTAAGAAGAAACTGCCTAACTGTAAAAGCAGTTTTGTTGTGGAGCCTATTAATTGGAGAGGTGGGGCTTCACTTCATTAGATGTCTAGTTCAGTGGAGACTAGACAGTCATTTGAAAAAACCAGTTTGGTCTAGTGATTAAGGCCCCACACTAGAAAGTCAGAGACTGTGAGTTCTAGTCCCACCTTAGCCATGAAAACCAGTTGGGTGACTTTGGGCCAGTCACTCTCTCTTAGCCCAATTTACCCTGCATGGGCCTTGTTGTGGGGAAAATAGGAAAAGGAAGGTTTATTCAATATCTTCACTGACTTAAGTGATTTGTAAAAATAATAAAGGTGGGATATAAATAAATAAATTTGACTCCAATGCTTTAATTTAGATTCCTACACCAAACAAGAAGTTTGGCTTAATGCAATCAATGACCCCTTCTAATGTTGTTTCTCAATGATTCTATGGGACATTGAGATGAAAAGCTCTGAAAGATAACTATTCTCCAGAAAAATGATATGTTTGACAAAGATATATTAACTACCTGCATTGATTTGGGAACTGCACCATGATTGCTACAAAGTCTTGACAATTTTCCATTGTTATCTACTGTTTAATACAGGTTGTGAGCAAATAAATGAGCATAGCCAATTTCCACTCAAAGTTCTACGAATGGAGAGCCTTAGCTGGAGTAGAGTTACAGTGGTGTTCTTGCATCAAACAGGTAAATTGCCACAGAAAACTTGAGCCAAGTTAATCCACAATTAATTGGAATATAACTTTGTGGATAAAGGAAACTAGATGACCATTAAAAAGGATTCAAATTCACAGAAAATCATTAGTTTTTTTCTCATGCTTCAATAGAGTCAAGATGAAAATTAATTCCTACAATGTTGCTTACTATGTGGTTGTCTGATATAAGGATTGGATCAATGCATTATTACTTCTGACTTCCACTGAAGCATTTAGCACTCAACCATTAGCACAAATGGAAAACTAATATAGTAGTTTCCGTCTTCCATGATGGAATCTGTCCATTTTGTAGTGAGATACAATTCAAATTGAATCCAGAGATTCAAGGTCTTCATGGTAAGCATGGATTAATTCTCTTGGTGAACTTGTCACCTGAAAAGGACATGTTAGACATTTGTCATGGTCAGATTAGTTCACCTGAGATTAGTTACCAGGTGGCTAGTTTGATTGATTGCTGTGGCCAGCGAAGTGGTAGAAGTATTTTATTGTATATGTTTTTTTTAAAAAAATTTGTAAGCCACCCAAAGTCACTGAGATTGAGTGGGCAGCCATATAAATTTTCTAAACAAACAAGCAAGCAATCAAATAAATAAATAGCCATTGCCTCAACTTCCCACAAGCCGGGGGCGGGGGGTGTTTTATTAAGTTGGTCTATCCTATGTGCTTTACGGATGCAATCAGTTCCAACAGATTCTTGGGGCATTCCCAGTAATCTGGAAAGCAGTTCACTGAATGTCTGCTTCAGCCATATGAAAGTGGCCTCTTCTGGTTTTCTGACCCTGAATGAAGCAGAAATGATACAGGGCGACGGATCAAAAATACATTTGTCTGATTGCAGGTATGAGCTCATGTCTGAGTCTACACAATGGCAAAAGAGTGGTAAAGCATCCTTACTTCTCTTATTGGATCAAGAAGCTTGTCCATGCTTTGCCTACTTTGAAAATCTCACTGCCTGGCTTGAAAGAAGCAGATGTATGCTTAGTTTTTCTTTCTGATTACATTAGTGTAATGCACTCTACTACAGGATGTCTTTTAGACTATTTAGAAGCTAAGTTGGTTCAAAATGCAGAAGCTCACTTATTGCTGGATGAGAACTGTAGGGCTGCAAGAGCTAAACTGGTTATCAATAGGCTTCTCAGTGCAGTTGGTTTTGACTTATAAAATCCAATGTGGCTGGCGTTCAGGATTCTGCAGACCATGAACTTTAAATGAAACCTACCCATTCACCATGCACATCTTGAGTAGGAATGCTAAGGTTTCTCTCCTATTGGAAATGTAAACAGTGCTATCATTCCTGATCTTTAGAAAAACTCTTACTATGGGCTTGTTCATAAGGGACTTTGGTTAAGATTTGCAATTGCCATTTTAAATTTAGGATGTATATATTGTTATTATTACTAGTAATTACTAGAAGGGACGTGGTAGTTCAGTGACTAAGACACTGAGCTTGTCGATCGAAAGGTTGGCACTTTGGCAGTTCGAATCCCTAGTGCCGCATAACGGGGTGAGCTCCTGTTACTTGTCCCAGCTTCTGCCAACCTAGCAGTTCGAAAGCATGTAAAAAATGCAAGTAGAAAAATAGGGACCACCTTTGGTGGGAAGGTAACAGCGTTCCATGTGCCTTTGGCATTTAGTCATGCTGGCCACATGACCATGGAGACGTCTTCGGACAGCGCTGGATCTTCGGCTTTGAAATGGAGATGAGCACCACCCCCTAGAGTTGGGAACGACTAGCATATATGTGCAAGGGGAACCTTTACCTTTATATTTATTGTTACTATATGTACTAGTGTATTTAGTCAGAAACTCTACTATACTCTGAGTGTGATGATACATAAAACAAACAAACATAATCTGTACTTTTAAAAAAATCCTAGCACTGATGATGTTACTTAGTTTAGGTAATGAAACCTTTGCAAGAAAATAACAAACCTGAGAGAGCATCAAGGATCCCTTATTTCTACCCCGAGTCACAGATATTCTCCTTTATTAGAAAAAAAACTCCACCCCTTCTTTGATTTATTTCTAATCTGCCTTTAAAACTATAAACTAATGATCATTCTGACATATCTTGTGGCAGGAAATCTATAAGCTAATGACACATTGCATAAAGAAGTTGGAAAGTGGGGTAGGGGGCAGTGGTGGGTTGCTCCCGGTTCGCACTGGTTCAGGAGAACCGGTAGTAGCGGCAGAGGAAGGCTCCGCGCAGCCACCTGGAAGTCATCAAATACGCTATGAACATAAGCTTCTGCGCATGCGCAGAAGTGGCGCGTGTGCGAGTGAAGCGAGCAAACTGGTAGCAAAGGTAAGTAAAACCCACCACTGGTAGGGGGGTCTGTTTGGAACACATTGCCATTAAGATTCATTAGGGTGTCACACTTAACCTCAGTGTACCAATATTTAGTATGGCTCTCCTCAAACTAATATATTCTATATCTGAGGTGACTGAGGGGACTGAGCTGTCCCCATTCACTTTCCCCATGTGATTGTCTTTTCTTTCCATTCAAAGTTCAAGTCCAGCCCTTGACCCTTGCATTTATATCCTTCTGTTCTGATCTACAAATCTCTGTGCTGTTGGATGTAAAATTTCCTCAGCCCATTATTTTGATTGACCTTTAATGCATGTTTTTAAATTTTACACTACCTTTTTTAAAGTTCTGGATTTGATTGCATTCTGACAGAATGAATTACCACTGACATACTACCTATCTCATCTTTCACATCTGGAATCCAAGGATGGGAGTTGAAAATGAATCTGTTCATTATATCTACTTTACGTCATATATAATATTCACCCACAATGGTAAACCAAAGCTTGCTTTATAGCGACTGATTATATACAAAACAAATTGTTTATAATTCACAGTTTGCTAAACAAGGAATCATGTCCTGAAGATTCACCCAAATCACCAGGTGCCTTTTCAATGGGGACCCTCATTTCTCGAGTTCTCTCCTTAGATAAAATGAGTTACCTATAAATTATACTATACTCAACAACGTGAAATCGCAGCTGCCAGTTCTTCAGCTGGTGTTGGTCTTCATTAAATCATCATTATTACTATTCTTAGGTTTGAAATCTTACATTTTCTTGCTAGATATCCCCCATTCCCCCCCCCCCCTTTCTGTTAACTTCAGGTCTAGGATGAAGAAAGTGAGTCTCTACTCTCGTAGTCATTCTCCAGGAATATTCTGAATTCATCAACAATCGCTAAAGGAGGATTTCCTACAAGTTGGCGGTCGGGGGGCAGTATGTATGAAACCCGGGTTCAAAACCCCCCCAAGCGGTGCAAAGCTGACCACTACCAAGTCTCCGGGTCACATTCCTATGCGGAGCCGAATCGAACCGTGGGAAGCAAAGCAATCGGTGGCCCGCAGCTCTGGGTTCGGCTCGCCATTCCCGAGCTAGCCGAGGCTGGCGCAGGCGGCTGATTGGATGGAAGCGGCGGTAATGCTCCACCCAGGGAAAGGCTCGTCGCTCTGACACGCCCCGCCCCGCCGGCTTTGGCAGCTCCTGCTCGCGGAGCGTGTTGGTGGCTCTCCGGGAAGCGAGCTCCGTCCTGGACGGCGCCCTGCCTTGGAAGAAAGCGCGAGAGGGTCCCTGCCGTCAGGTCAGTGGGTCCCTTTGCTCCCTTCCCTTCCCTTTCCCTGAACAGGCGCTGCTGGGCGGGCTTGGGGAAAGGTCTTCGGAACGAATGACCTCCGACAGCATCTTTTTTTTTTCCCCCCTCAATCGCCGTCGCTTCCCGGGGTGGCCGAGAAAGCCGGCTAGCAATTTCTCCACCCAGCGCGGGACCCTGATAGAATCCGCCCGTTTCTTCCTTGGAACTTATTCTCAAGTGCAAATATATCCGAGAAACGGTTGGATGCTATTTAATACTTAACTTCGCCCAAATAAATAAATAAAAATGCTCCGGAATATTCAGCGAGAGAGTTGATTCCTAATTCGGTGTGAAGAGGAGGGCAGCTTTTAGATGGGAAATGAATTATTTCGTTTTCGTTTTTGTCTCCCATCCTTTTGCCTTTTCTTTTTCTCTGGGTTTTTTATTTTATTTTCATAAAAGCAACGTGGGGAGAGAGTATTGGCTTTGCCATATTGAATAGGGTTTGAAATCCCTCTATTGCCCATCTTTACACACACTGCAAAAGCCATCTAGCATATTGATCCAGGTTGTCATTTTGAATTTACCTGTCAGTCTAGTTCAGGGCAGCATCTGGGTCCAAAAAAAAAAAAAAAGAAAAAGAAAAAAAGAAAAAAAAAACCAAGCTCCAGAGAACAGCAGCCCTATGATTTGCCCTCTGGCTGATGTCTAGAGGGCAAAGAGTTCTGCCAGGGATTTTTGTACCAACTGCAACATGCACAACATGTTAGGGAGTGGTGTGGAAATACAGACGACTCTCCATTGCCATCTGTCTCTCTCACACACATGTACCAGCAATTCCAAAGCATCAGAATTGTTTTCCATAGCATGACCAATTTCTCACCAAATGAATTACTTGCAGTGGCTAAACAGATTGAGCGGTGTATCTGTTAATATTATAGCCATTTCATTTCAAAACTCAGTATGCAGTTTAGAGCTGGTCAGTCCTGGTTTCTCAGAAGCCGCTCTACAGCTCTACATTAATTAGCATGCCTTTAAAAAAAAAAAAAAAAAAAGATGAATGAAGTGTTTACTTTTAGGAGTTGTTGCTTTCTCTCATGTGTGGAAAAAGATATGCATCATTTGCAGTAGTCTATGCTCATCTAGGTGGAAATGTCTATTTCTTCTATAAAAACATGTATTGGAATGTACAGTCCTTACACTGAAATCCTGCAATCTCATACCTAAGATTTAGCACACTTAGCTGCACCTATTTTAAAGCAGAAATGTATAAAATTAGATTAGAAAAACTTCATTTGGTAGCAGCATGAGCTGCCTTATAGTTAACTGCTGGAGATTTTGTTAGGTGATTCATAAATAAATTCAGTCGTCCTCGACTTGTGAAGGTTGTTTCACACATGAGCATCATCAGTGCTACAGCATGATCCTGCAGTTATCCAATATTGAATATAGATGTGGGAACGTCTCTTACAGGGAGCCTTATTTCTAATAGTTAAAGAGGTAAAAGCATAAAGATCAATATTAAAATATTGATCATTAATCATTTTTATTTTCAATTATGTAATTAAGAGTACACTAGGGTAATTAAAAAGAACTCAGAAAGAAGAATATGATGAATTTTGAAATAATATTTTTGATATCTCGGATCTCATTCAAGTTTCTTAAACATGCTTCATGTACTTAGAGTGGAGAGCGTGAACTCTGAAAACAGTTGCAGTGGAATGGAACAGTTGTTTTATTTCAGTATTTTTACATTGATCTAATCACATGTTAGAGTGTTATATAAATTATATTACATTATATAAATCAGGTTATTGTTTTGACTGGGCGTCACATAAGTGATATTGCTTAAAGCATTTGGATATTTATGCTTTTAGGCCAGATTTTGTCATTCTCTCTAAGTAATTATTATCAGCATTTTTGACAATGAGACTAGATAAAAGAAAGTTTCCCCCGAACTTAAAGTATCAGGTATATTTACAACCTTACTAAAAGGTACACTCAAAGTTCTCCTTGCTTTATCCTAAACAATATTTGTTCTTTAAGCTCAAATACGAATTAGATTGTAATTGATACATAGGTATGGGTTTCCAGTGGCTGTGAATACCTGACAGGCTTGTTATAATTATAATGCATAACAGATTGCAAGATCGAAAATACTTTAGGAAACATTTGAGATTAGCCTACTGCTGCACTGAAAAATATACTTTTTAATGCATCAATATTATGGATATAGTATTCCTTTGTAGATTTTCAGTATTTGTATTTTAATTTTCTTAAACTTGTTAAATTAGAATCTTATCAATTTAAACCAATAATAAATTAGAAGATTCTGGCCTTCACACCACAAATGATTCTGTTTCTTCATTAAAAATATATGTTGAAAAAGAAAAAGGAACCAACTAAGTAGTATTTAAAAATACTTCCCCTTGCATTAATATGGTAGTATCTAGCATTATTAAAAAGTTATCATTGTTTTGGCTACTTGCTCACTTTTTCTTCTGTAATATATTTATATAGCTTCTGAGCTTCTTGATTTAATCCAGCTGGCATTTCCAATTTACTTTGGAAGAAATTTGGCAGAAAGGGAGACAAAAGTAAAAGACCTGCTTTAAAAAAAATATTGGAATGTCATTTAAGATGTTTTCATTGCATTATGCCAAAAACATTACTGCATTCTTGTTTTCTAACAACAATAAGATAATTTATGGAACATGTATCACTATAGTCTCTGCATTGTGACAGGAAGGATCATGACATTTTCATTCTGTATAAAAAAAAATCTTTATGTTTCAGTTTTCTAGAAATAACTTCTCAGACTGCTTTTAGTATATTATGTATACTCAGCAGAATAGCACAGTGGCTAAGCAAAGCTTCCCAGGAATTCTGGCGCAGCTGATTTGGTCTATTGAAACCTCATTTAGGATTGTCCTCATAATAAGATCTTGATAAAGAGCTCTAATTAGTCTAATTAAACATCTATCCTTTTCCTATAAAGCATTTGTCTGCCATAATTTCTCCAGATTTAAAAGGTCAAAAGGTAATAGCAGGCAATAAATGCAGTTTACAGTTGTTGGCTGTTATTGTACAAAGTGGCGCAGGATAAATGGGTATTAGTAGGAAAACTGCTTCCATACAAGCCAATTCTCTCATCAGTATACATTGTTCTGATTCTAAGCTAACTTGCAAATAATTAATGTAAACATTTTCAGTTATAGTTACTATGCAAATAACCAAAAACATGACAAAAATGCCACACATTTCTCAAAGGAGCTGTCAAATATTTTCATAAAGTTTTCCAAAAATGGCTAACAGTAAGATGGTTAAGGTTTGTATAAAGGTAAAGGAGTTCCTGCAGATTTTACTCCACTAGTCATTGCTGACTACAAGGGCAGAGGTGGGTTTCAGCAAGTTCTGACCAATTCTGGAGAACTGATAGCAGAAATTTTGAGTAATTCGAAAAACCGGTAGTAAAAATTCTGACTGGCCCCGCCCCCATCTATTCTCTGCCTCCCAAGCCCTGACTGATCGGGAGGAAATGGGGATTTTGCAGTAACCTTCCCCTGGATTGGGGACGGAATGGAGATTTTGCAGTATCCTTCACCTGCCACACCCAACAAGCCACGCCCACCAGGCCACACCCACAGAACCAGTAGTAAAAAAATTTGAAACCCACCACTGTACAGGGGGCTATGTTCATTTCCATTTCAAAGCCATTGAGCCAGCCCTCTCCAAAGACATTTCTGTGGATATGTAGCCAGCATGACATCAGAGAGCACTGTTACCTTCCCACCACTGTTACCTTCCCAGCAACATTTGTATGCTTTTGAACTGCTAGGTTGGCAGGAGCTGGAGCGAGGACAGGAGCTCACTCCATTGCATGGTGCTTGGGCCTCAAACCTGGGCTGATGGCTTTCAAGCCAACAAGCCCAGTGTCTTAACCACTGAGCCACCATGCTGCTGTTTGTATAATGACTAAAGGGTAATTCTTAGTTGCATAGAAATCACAGGAAGCAAAGTCAGCACTGAGTTGCTGGTGGACAGCTGGCCCATGAGCATTTCTAGAGGTGGAACCAGAGTATTGGAGCTGGAGCATGGACACTTCATGGTTGAATGAACGCTTCATGTAACTCATAATGTTTATATGGTGTGGGATTAACATGTTATGAAAAGCCAGCTATTGTGTTTTCTTTCAGGGAAACATAATTAAGGAAATAATGGCTTAGCATGGTATAAAGGCAACAAAATTTGAATCAATCTTGATGGCTATAAGGAGAAGAAATTTGATGGGGCGGGGGGACTAGCAGACTTGAGAGGTAATAGAGATAGATAGGCCCAGTCTGTGAAGCTGCCAAGACCCCTTATTTTAATTTTCCCTTGGGACTTGACAGTTATAGTACATTCAGCATTCCAGATATTTAAATAGTATGGTGGTTAACATATTTATGGTCTCCTGCTTTTGCTGTCTGATGATCTAGAACCCTTTTCATAAGAGAAGGAACCCATTATGGGACTTTGGCCAACTACGGAGGTGATTTGAAATCATTGATCCATCTGTATCATTGAAGATAAAGGTGGTCTCTACAGTATAGAACCAAGAATCTCAGTTTAGGCTAGTAAGCTGGGCAGGAAATACTTTTCTTAAGCCATCCATTTTCTTTGACATTTTGGTTACATTCCAAGTACAACTATGGTATAAGATTAATTTATTTCTCTACAGGCCCCAATCATTAAATGATTTAGAAGCTTTTTCTGGGTATTTTTACCAAATGAATATGACACTATTGCAGGAGAGAAGCTAGTTGTTGTTGTTGTCGTAGTAATAGTGTCCCAGCTACCGAATGTCTTCTTTAAATGCCTGCCTTTTGGCATCAAATGAAGATCAGTTCATTTTCGCAGCTTGTTGAATTGTTTCAGCTTTCAGCTAGTTTTACTGTGTGATTTGTGTCTTTAGGCTGCACAGCAGAGGCCAAGGTTCAACTTCTGATGTCTCCAGGCAGCCTGGAGAA